TTCAAATCAGTTAAAAACATCCCAGGGGCCAAAACAAAGAATATACATTAATTTTCCAAATAATTTATTTCCATAAAAAGAATATTATGGTATATTACTTATGCAAATTTGATAGATACATAACAGAAAGGAATATATTGTTACTTATTTAGAAGTTAATTTATAAAAAATTGAACCTTTACCAGTTCCTGAAAATTGATTCTCTCCTGTTTTCAAACCACCATCAAGTATATACTCAGCTGAAACATGTACTTTTGGTAACTCCAAACAGGCTTCAGAAGGCAAATTAGCTTCAGTTACCTATATCACACAACAATATATCAACTCATTTAAAATTTTTGACTATAGTGGCTTAAATAGATATTTGTTCTGAGAAATATATATAAGAAAAGTTATCTTCCGCATGTAATTATTTTTGTTATGGGGTATATATGATATCTATATTCCCATTTAATTACACCAGTATTAGACTAATATATGAATGTTTTTCTTTTTACTACTAATCTAGTATTTGAATATCATTGGATGTCAATTATTTATACTAATGTTAATATTATTTTTTTTTTATTTAAATTTATTTTGACTTAAATTTAAATTTGAGCCTAAGATTTTGATTAATTATTATTTACTATGTAAAGGGAAATTGTTTACTAAATTATAATTTTTGATGGCTGAGGTCTTAATATGTTTTAATTATAATTATTTGTCTAGGACATCAGTGCTATAAAATAGTTTAACGCTGAAGAATATGCATAATTAATTAATAATTTAAAGTATTTCAATAAATTTCAAATAATTAGACATAACTAAATAAAATATGTTAAATACTTAAGCTATTAAAAAAAATTTATTTGAATAATTTATTTATTAGTATCACTATACTTATTGAATATGTTTTTTTTTTTTGTTAAAATTTATTGCCTAATACATTGTTTATAATAATTAAGTGAAAACTTTAACATTTAAAAAATATTTTAATAATAATTATAAGTTATAAATTAATTAAGTACTTGAAGTTTGGTAGAGAATGACAATGTATGTTGAGGTAAATCAACAATGAATTTTGCTTTATTTCCTGTATACCCAGTACTAGTAACTTGATCCATTTTGTACTCTGCTCTTAAAGATGGCAATAAAGCTACAGTAATAGTTAAACACTACAAGAATACAAAGTTAAGTGGTTTAGTATAACATTTTAAATATATAAAATTACTTGAATAACTGCTGTAAAGTGCATAACAAGAGGTTGAAGTAGCAAGTTAGGTTCAGGAATAAGTGATTTTTCAAGCTCTTCTTTTAATACTTTTTGAACCAAAGGGCTTTGTTGAAAATTAGTGTTTAAAGGGCCTGCAACACTTTGCATATCACCTTCATCAATAGTTGGCGCACGCCCCATTCGACTAGAAGCACGAGCAACTCGTAGTTCCTGAATTTTTATTATAATTTATTAATAATATTATTTTTGAAATTTGCTATAATTACCTGAAGTGTAGATGAGAGTTGTTTGCTACCTCTAGTCATCATACCATGAAGAGCAACTGGATGTTGTGGAATATCAATATTAACAACACCAATTGTTAACAAACCTGAGTTTTGATCTTTTGTTTGACGACTCATGCTTGAGTATAAAGTTTGTGATTTTCCTACAGTAACTTTAACAACTGTTTGCTGATTAGGAGCGACACCTTCCAGAAGTACTATCATAGTACGACCTATATGACCAGTAAGCGAGCACTCTAAGCTTGGAGGACGTGTCTTCTTACGAATTGTTGAACTTGTATGTAAATTCGTAATTTCTGCTTCTAATTTCAAACCACTCAAAGTGGCTAACAACCTAGTACGATGAATACGAACAACTACAAACACAATTAGTCGTGTACGTTCTTCTTTAGAAAGTTCTAGGAAAAAATATATATATAAACGTATGATTAAAATTTTTATATTAAATTAATGATTACTTGGATTAGTTTGTGAAACAAGGAGTGCTGGAGTACCAGATGATAAATCTTTATCAATATCATCACATGACTTAGTATCAGATAGTAAATCATACTTTCGTGTACCTTTGTATCCTTCAGATACATCAAAACCAGAAATTTTCTGTGTCACTGTTTTTGTTTCAGGCATAGTTGCATATAACTCTAACAAGTGATAAACAGTTTTCCAGCATCTAGGTGTCAATGTAACCATATTAGAGTCAGTTTCATCTATAGGCTTCATTGACGGAATTCGATCAAAGTCTGATAAACTTGGAGTAACACATTCACTTTTTACCGAAGTTTCATTCAAATTTATGTAACCTTTAACACTTTTACCAGTTGATCTTAGTTTTTGTGCTAAAGTTTGATGTTTAGAACGTATTGATGGAGAAGGTGACACAACAGGTTTAATATCACTAGCTGAATGTGGAATAATACGTTTAGCAAGTGTTGGCGTTGAAAGAGGTGCTGGTTCTGAATGATCTAAACAAAATTAATTTAAAAAATCAAGATAAAAAGTTTAAGTATTATAAATTTAAACAATACTTAAGAAAATATATTTTATTAAATAATTGAAATTTGTAATAGGTATAAAAACCTTAAATTGTAACATTTTTTACAGATAATTGAATTTAAAATCATACAATACAAATTTAGTGAGTTAACAAGCACATAATCAATAAAATTAATACTTTTTAAAAAAAGTTCATATTGATATGACACCGATAAATTTGTTAACATCCAAGAACCAGAAATGTAAACAATAAAATAGAAATCATAAGCATTTATCTCAAATTTTAAACATTTTACTATTATACACCTATTGTACCGAGGAATGGTCAATAATTACGGGCAAGAATTGTTAACTTTGAAAAAGATAAAATTTTAAATCTAAATATAAATAAAAACTAATAACAATATAGATTTTCATAAATATTACCAAAATGTGATGTGGTACGCTTGGCACTTGAACGTGAAACATACATAGGTGGTTGTTGTTCACGAAGTTCTGATTGTGTATCTTTCACATTTTGATACATATTAGTAATTTGATTCAAAAGTCGTAACAAGGGCATATTAACCTAGTAAAAAAGACATCAGTTTTTCTTTTTATATTAATAATAATAAAGTTTATTGCATTTAATGATAAAAATATAAAAATATAGTTCAATTTAAATATTGTTTTTATTAATTCAATAATATTTTTCTGAAGATTTTATTTTATACTTAATTATCAGAGGTGTATCTAAAGAGGTTAAAAAAACTCATTCATTTAAGTTTTTAAACTCTAAATTCTAGCTAAAAAATTCACCAGAAAATGTGATAATTGAAAAAGTCTGAATTAAACACTCTTATGTAGAGTAGCATTGTTTAACTTACTTGTTGAGATATGTATCTAATAGAAACACAGATATTAAGTGATGTGTTTGAATGTTTTTTTAGTTGACCTCTGGATAAATACAACATATTACGTTTTTGTCTGCAAATATCATCAACGACTGTCATATCTGCTGAACGCCGAACATCACATTCAATACTGACACGATCACAAATAAAAGCTGGCACTTCAGGCAATAAATCTAACCACGGAGTTTCTTAAAAATGAGTAAAAAATTATTTTATAAATATTTGATCCAAAAAATATTTAATTTATTTCACCTTGTTTGGATTTTTGTTTGAATGTCTTTGATTTTTTTTCAGTTTCAGAGATTTTACCATATTCACTCACAACAATATCTATTCGCATAGTTTCTAGACTACCAACAAGTGATAAATTGGAGCCCCAAGAATTAAGAGCTGCCATACTATTATTGCCTTAATTATAAAATTGATAAAAGAATAAAAATATATATAATTTGAAAATTAAAAATTATTTACTTGTATTTGAGTTGACCATTTGTTGAGGCATAACACCTAAGCTAGATAACAAAGGTTCAAAAATAAGATGAGCATCTAAAAGTCTTAATGAGTCATGCTTTAGAAAAATGTTAAATCGTGCGGAATCAGAATCTCCTACATCGGCTGTAGACTGATTTTCAGTAACTAATGGAATATTTTTTGATTCGGATACCCACAATGGCCTCTTGCGTAATTTCTAAAAATATTGGTTAAAACTGTATTTATTTCTTTTAAATATATAAACATTATATGTAGCCTTTCCTTTTTCATATAAAATAGTATAAATAAGTGGATAATAAAAACAAACAAAAAAAGTATTTTATAAGTTACTGGTAATTTAATGATTAAAGTGGATATGTGAATGTATTATGAAATGTTTTATAATAATTTCTAAACTTTCAAAAATGAAATTAAAACTAAAAAATACTTCATAGTAGAATTAATATCTTTTCAAATTTGCATCGAACATAAATTGATATCAGAAAAAGTTATCTATAATATAAAGACAAGTTATTTTATCTGTATATTATTTAACTGTAATAAAAATAAAACATTAATATATCCTTTGAATTGAGATAAAACATTATAACTATAAAGGAACACGTTATTTATTAATAAGTACTATCAAGTAGTCTTTAACTAAGAATTTAAAATAATATTTTAAAATAAAAAAAAATTACCCATTTGAATATGTTAAAAGAGACATCCAGAAGCCAAGCTTCATTGTTAACTCCACTTTTTTTTCAAAAACATTTTTTAGCTTTGATACAAAGCTGATAAGTTATTAAATTTAATATGATGTGTTTTTTTGTGTGTGTGTATGTTGCCACTTTTTCTAATCTCTCACCAGACCGATTTCTTCCAACAATAAGTCAAAAGATCACAAATTATATCTACTTGAAGAAATTGCCCTTAAAAATTAAAAAAATTTCCTTTTTCCCTATAAATAGGGCAGATCTCCAAAAAAAAATTACAATTTTTAAAATCAGTAAATTTTTACATTTTTTTTTGTCTTAAAACTGGCATCATTTTTTCAAAAATTATAAAATTAAAATAATTTTTTTATATAGAAATCTAAGGTATTTGCCTTTTATTTGATATCTTTTTTTTTTTAATTCTGACCCTTTACCTACCCACAGAAGGGAATTTAAAAGAGCAATTTTTTTTACAAAAGTCAACTCTTTCAACTTAACTTTTGAAAATGTTCCAGAAATACAGCGTCTTTTAAATATAAATATAATTAAAGCTTATGTTATGTACTATAAATTGAAAAAAAAATTTGTTCCGACGACTTATGCTCTACGTGCAAATGGCTGCCGTAGTTAAAAAAACATGCCATTTTTGAGTTAAAATTTTTTTTTTTTTGTTTATTTTAAAATANAAAAAACATGCTATTTTTGAGTTAAAATTTTTTTTTTTTTGTTTATTTTAAAATACTATACAAGGGTTTAACGTAGTAATGAGTCCACCAATTTGTATAAAGTTGCATGAATCTAATTTACATTATATATAAATTTAAATTTTGATTATTTTGCCTCCTCGAAGTTAAGAAAAAAAGCTGCTTTGAATTATTAAACTAGTTTAAATAGTCTTTTTTATCTACTTATACTTGTAATGCACGGTGGCAGCATTGTATAAAAAACAGTTATATACGGTTAGGGTAGGAAAATCGAACCCCGCCAGTCGAAATAACTTTTTTTAGATGGAAAAAAATTAAAAATGAATAATAATAAACAACATTCAATCAAAATATTCAATGAATATTTTGGTGTTTTACGTAATGATTAAACAATAAATAAAAACACCGATTAACGTAAAAAAGAGAAAAATGATAGACGGTTTGTTATTTAAACACTTTTAGAATATATGCACGCAAAATGTGTACTAACTGTCTACTTGTGGCGAACTAACTTATGAGACTGATTGATTGATTGACTGATGTCGCGCCGTTTTATAGTTGAGTATTCTAGAATAATCTTTTATGGGCGCGATCGAAAACATTCGCGCTATATGTATTTTATGTTGCTTATTTGTTTGTGGTCTGTATAAATTGTAAAATCTTTGCCTTCTAATAAGTGAATGAAATGTCTACAACTATCGTATATAGCTAGAAGTTCTCTATCATAGGTCGAGTATCGCTGTTCAGCAGTGGTTAGTTTACGTCTGTGAAAGCCTAGTGGAAGCGTTTGATTATTAATTATTTGGTATACAACTCTACCGATTGCTCTATTACTGGCATCTGTAGTAAGCGTTAGTTTGGCTGATTCATGTGGGTGTGCTAAATATGTTGATTTTTCCTATAATTCTATACATGCGTAAAATGCTTCTTTTGCTTCTGATGTCCAAATTATGATATGCATATCGTTTTTATTGTTATCAGGAATCAGCTCATTCAGATGTAGTTGGTGATGTGTGAGCTGTGGTATAAAACGTCTATAAAAATTTATTATACCGAGGAATCGTCGTAGGTTCTTTATTTGATTGGGTATAGGCAATTCTCTTATACTTTTAACTTTATCTAGATCAGGTATGGTTCCGTCTTTTGAAATTTGATGTCCTAAAAAGGTTATTGATTCTTGTCCAAAGCTGCATTTCTCTAGGTTGATTTTAATACTATGTTGAGTAAGTGTTTTTAGTACTATATTTAGATGTTCTTTATGCTGCTTTTTGGATTCTTAAAAATTTAATATGTAATCTATATACTCTACTGTAATCGGTTGTAATGGTAAATAAAAATATATAATGATAAATTGAAATACTTGTGAATATTATACATATATACAAAAAAAAATTTTAAATAAAAAAGATCATACAGAACGTAGAATGAGATAAACCAACCAAAAATGTAGTAATTTAAGTTTACTTATTTATTTCATAATATGAAATAAAAACCCAGCACAGGGGGGTCGCGGCACAGTGGTGACGTGGTATAGATGGATCAAGTATAATGATATCTGACAGTGATTAAAATCACTATCAAAAAAAAACGCTTCGATGCAAATCTTTAGATAGTGTTTAATTTTAAAAAATTGGTGGA